CCCCAAAACCCCAAAACCCCAAAACCCCAAAACCCCAAATAGTTCCCAAATTGAACTTTAAAGTTACTCATCTTTCTTCTTCTTATAAATCAGGTACCCTCCTATTGCGGTTAACGCGAGTACAAATCCAGTAAGGATGATTTTCTTCTGCTTCTGCTTGCTTGCTTGGTTTTCCTTCTGCACAATATTTATCAAAAACTTACCACTTCCTTAATAACCTTTAATCTCTTAATATTTCATTCAATCTCTTTGTATTTAACCGATGCTTCGCCTTTATACTTCTTCTGCAACTGCTTGGCTTCTTCGTATTGGTCAAGAGCCTTCTCTAATTGACCAGCATTGTGAAGATTTGTGCCATAATTCTCTATGAAATCGACTACCTCAAAATTGATTTTTCCATCATAAGCTTCCATGATTCTGGCCTTATTGGCCTCTTTGATGTCATCAGCTTTGGCTATATCTACGAAACACAGAGTTTTCAGCAGTAATGTGTTGTAGTTATGCTCCTCAGATGCATTCCTCTCTAGATCATTAGTCATAAAGAGTACTGTTAAACTGGATTTCAAGCAGGATTTCAGAAGCTTTCTTGTAATCCTTATTCTCAAAAAGTGCCTGAGAGTATGTCAGGACCCCAACTGTGTACTCTTGTAAGTGTGGCTCAATATACTTCTTGCAATAATTGTAGCTAGAGAGTTCAGAGAAATATTACCATTCTCTTCCTATTTCAAGGAATTTATCTTTATCTTTCTCTGCTAGGTAGATCTGGGCTAAGGATTGGAATGTTGTCAAGATATCTATGGAGTTTACTTCCGAATAATACCTGGATTTTGAGGATACGAGGTGATCAAGAGATTAATAGCTACATTTTGAGATATGATACTTACTATCCATTGATAACTCCTTATAGGTCTGAGTGTCCATATCCACCTTTGCTTTTGCCAGCAACATCTGGTACAGATTGGTCAGCTCAATATGGTTCACTCCATTTTTCTTCCTTGGCCTAATATAAGCAAGTCTTTCCTTCAATAAAATGGAAGCTTTACTCTTGAAAACCAAGTCTGTACTATTGATTCCCTCTCTAAAGTATAGCAATGGATCATTACCTGATGAAGTTATGAATAACATTTTTGCAAGTAAAACTATCCTTGGAGAAGCCATATTCCTCAACCAGTTTGAGGATATCCTCTCTGTCTTTGAGAGAAAGGTACTTCAGGTTCTGGACCTGTCCCATCCTGATAAAGTCATAAGACTCTGTACGGGAGGTTATCAAAGTAATATGCTTACTTTCTCCTACTTCTCTCTTGACCTTGAGGTAGTTCTCAATCAACTCTATAACTTATATTAGCAATGAAAGCAAGTAGAAGGCTAAGTTTCAGGGTCTCAAGTGACTAGTGAGGTAAACATTCTCGTCTGTGGGTACCTTCCTGTAGACTAAATACTACTTACTCTCATTAAACCTAATATTGATTGCCTTAAAGATCCTATAAGCCGTAAGATATTTTCTTACTGTATAAGTTTGGACACAAATGATGGTTTCAGATACTTAAGTCTGATCTTGTCCTCCTCAGTTTTAAGCTTAAAGAACTTGGCATATTTTAGATACAGCTCATAAATATCGTCCTGGCTCACCTCAGTCAGTTTGAGTAAGGCTAAAGAGTTTAAATTTGTGACCAGGCTATCATTGAGATAGTCATCTTCCATTCCTATCTTGCTCTGGATTTTGACTATGAAGGTGAGCAGATCCTTACCACAGATTTCTTTATAGATTTTCCACATTTCATGATTGCTCTGGTTACTCTTGCTAATGACTTTTAACGTCTCTATGAGAATATCCAGGTTATTATTCCTCTCCTACAGAGTTAAGGGAAATTATTACGATTGAGTAATGCTCGTCATCAGGATTGCCTTTGAAATCCTCATATAATCTCGTGAGCCAGCTTATGTTCTCTAGTACCTCATTTTCTTCTGTAAAAATAGTTAGAGGGCCAAACCGGGGATACCAGACACCGCTAAGTCTTACTCAAAAACACGAAATTAGTCAGTATCACTGGGTATATGGACTTTAGTGATAAAAATGAGGGGTTTCTCTCAATTTCCTTGACTGCATTATTAAAGATTTCTTTTCTTTTCTCCAAGTCCAATGTGCTACAATTTGAATAAGACAATTACTCCTTCCCGCTATCATGTCTTATGTATAGTGTTATGTTATATGAATCTATAGGAAAATTTAGCAAACAGTCATAATTAGAGAGAGACAAGGGAGATTTGACACTGACGTCCTGAAGCACTCAATGTTTAAGTAAATTCTTAGGTCAGGAGCTTGACCTGGAAAATTTAGAATATCCAAACTTGTACTAAATTTCAAGGTGTTTTATGCTTAAAGAATGTTGAAAATACTACTATGATCACTTTCAACTAGTTGAACAAGGAATTCTGAGTCCTTACCTTTCACAAGTTGGTCTTCTGAAAGATTATGAGTTTCAATAATCTGTTCTAGATTTTCCTCAAATTTGCATTCTTTGATGAATATCTAAATTAGAAGTCATGAATAATGCACTCAGAAACAGACAATAAAGAATTCGAAGTTGGCTTACCTCATCTTCAAAGCATGGGAGTAAGACTATAAGAAGGTGTTAATGAAGAATAGAGACAAAATCCTGAGGTTTTGAGATCCTTACTAATATATCTCCAACAAAGCTGCTCAAGATTGAAATCTTGACCTTCTTTCTCTAACTGTTCATTTTCAAAATTAGATTTGTCCTTCACAAGCTGGTATAACTTTAGTCAAACATTCTGAAGCTGAGTCTCGCATTCCTTTTGTGACCTACAAAGATAGCCAAGGAGAGAAAATTACATAAAAGCTGCAGCTTGGAAGTAATAACTAGCCATTATGCCTGGATAAACCTCTTTTAATGTATCTTTGCTTTCTTCTTGGCTAGATTCTTCAAGGACATACTTCCTGAAATCTTGGTCTACCTTGGCATAATTAATTGGCTTCTCAAACATAGCATTATTCAGCAATTCCAAAGCTGCTATCATAATGTTAATCTCTTCCTAAATCTCAGGCTTGATGAATACCTGTTGGAGATCGCTGAGCGTATTCTCTTCTTCCTTAGCTTGTTGAATTTCTTGCATGGCTCTTTCAACAGCATTGATATCTCCTTTGAAGAACTAAACGGTAATAAAAGACCTACAGCTGCTGTTTCAGCCTCCAGATATTTCATGTATAGATCCATCTTTAAGTATATTATTTTAAAGCCAATCAATCAGGATTAACTTAAGAGGGGTTTTGGGGTTTTGGGGTTTTGGGGTTTTGGGG